GACACAGGTGAGGGCCTGGGGGGTCCCTCTGCCCCTCCGCCTGCAGCCCCGACCCCTGGGATGGCCGCGCGCGGTGCAGAAAGCAAATCCAGGCAAGTGCAAATATTTGGCAAATATATGCAAAATAATTTGGCAGAATATTTGCTAAATAGTAAAAAATACAATATAGACTAGGCAGAGGGGGTGCGGTGTAAAACACTGTAGTCAGAAAAAATGAACAGGAGTAGTTAGAAAAAATGAGTAGGAGTTCAGGAAATGCAGATTGGCGCTAGCTCTGCACAGACAAGAAACCGCTTATTAAAAGCCCCGTGATGTCGTTCTGCCTCTCTGGCTCCAGTGTCTCAAGCTGCTTCTCAGATGGGCACCCTGAATCCGCGGCTCTGCTGCGGAGCCTGCGCGTGGGCAGACACCCACCCGCAGCGAGACCGCTGCAAGCCCTCGCGTGGTTTCGCCCCAGGTCAGCCACAGCTCGCGGTGCGATGCTGTTCGCTAAGCACAGCCGTTTCCTCGTTTTCTTTGCTTGTTCTTTAAAAGAGAGGAATGCTTTTTACTTTATTTCTGAGCGTCTTTGTTCACTAGAAGTGGGGCCAGATGTACTAACCACAGTCATAAATATCCTTTTTACAACAGAATATTTATATTGCCACATGGGTTGGTCGAGTTCAGGGCTGCAGAGTTCAAAAACAGCTTCCCTTGCCCTGAAGAGCCCAAATACTTAATTAAGGCAGATAAGGCAGGACAAATAAACACAAGACAAAACTCCCCTTGCTTTGAACCACCTCTAGGGAGCAGGTCTTGGCAAAAGAAAAGAGAGATCGTAAAGCTGCAATAATAATGATGATAAATTAATTGTATTTATAAAGCTTCCCCTAATGGCTCTGGATGCCACACCACGATTTTAAATACAGTTGAATGCAGCAACAATAAGCAGCCAAATGAGAAGCCAAATAAGGAAGTGTGGTGAAAAATAAAGGTGTATTTTACAATAGCTAGCAAGATGTAAGAGTGCTGGTTTGGGGCTCTTTCAGCAAGTGCAGCGGGGAGGGCGTCCAGGCCAGGCACGCACTTTGCTCCCCAGGTCTTCCCGCAGCTGTGTCTGTCGGCAGCGCGTGCGGCGGCTCCAGACCGGAAGCCTCGCACCTCAGCCCCGCAAACCCGCCCTCCGGGCTCGCACACGCTGCCACGTTTGTTTCGCTCTCCTGGCACGTGAGCACGGCGGGTGCACGTTTGCACGCAGAGGTGTTTGCGGGTGAGGGCATGCGGGTCAGGCTCTGTGGCATGGACACACGGACACATGGACACATGGACACGTGGACATGTGGACACACAGACATGTGGACACACGGACACATGGACATGGAGACATGTGGACACATAGGCACATGGGCACACAGACACACGGACATGTGGACACACGGGCACGTGGACACGTGGACAGACAGACAGACACACGGGCACACGGACATGCAGACACACAGACGGCCCGAAGTGGCCGATCTGCTCTCCGGCCTTTCCACCCGCCACCAACCAGGGGG